CGTGTTATTCATAATTCAAGAAAAGATATTTGATTGTTGATCGGGAGTGAAAGGAAAGACCATTTCATTTTTCAAAAAAGTGAAGTAAGAAGTTTCGTAAAGAACGCGAACGGTAGTGTGAATGATTTTTTGACTGAGAAAATAAGCAAGCAAACAAACAAACAATCTCAGAGTTTTAGTAGTATGTATATAGATTCTTCAAGATCTTGTTTTTGTCATCTTACACCTTTTAATGAAGATAGGAACATTGACAGGGAAATAATATAATAGCCAATGCTCGGCGAGAGGTTTTCGTTTATAAAGTTTTGTTGTTGTTCTCGACTTGATTTTTATTTAATTATCTCATCTCCATAGTTACTATTCGCAAATAGTCAATAATATAGTAGGTCCATTTTATTGTTGTTCTTTCTCCGCGCCTTTATAACACATTTTCATCTCATCATTTAATTTCTGTTATGCATATATTATTGTATACAAAATATTTTAAAGTGATTCATCAGGTGGAAAACGAAGTTTTATAATAATGGAATGTACGAAAAGTGACCCGAAAAACGGCACTAACTCGGTAACCTGTGGGCCGATTTTAACGAAACTTGTTTTATTCTGTTTCTATTCTCATTTCATTAGAAATATGGCGCTATTGTGCACCGTTTTTGTTATATTCAATTACAGACAAGCACACACACACAAACAAACAATCTCAGAGTTTTAGTAGTATATAGATATATAGGAACGTATAACAAAAACTTTTAATGGTTAGAATGTACTGATTCATTATTTGGGCGATATTTTTATCCCACTTTCAGTTGTAGGGTGTTATAAAAGTGACAGTTATATTCCTTTATTCAGTTAAGTAGTAGTCGTTTAGGCGCAGGTGGGTGTTAATGGATAGTTACCCTGCCTCTAGTAAAATAGTTCTAATTTAGACTATGGCTATGACGAAATGTTATGGCCTGGCCATTTGTTTGTTTTTGAATTTCGCGCAAAGCTACACGAGGGCTATCTGTGCTAGCCGTACCTAATTTAGCAGTAAAAGACTAGAGGGAAGGCAGCTAGTCATCACCACTCAGCGCCAACTTTTGGGCTACTCTTATACCAACGAATAGTGGGATTGACCGTAACATTATAACGCCCCCACGGCTGAAAGGGCGAGCATGTTTGGTGGGACGGGGTTTCGAACCCGCGACCTTCAGATTGCTAGTCGAGCACCTTATCCACCGGGCTATGCCGGGCCTGCCTGACCATTTAAATGACTTATAAGGTGAGATTAAGATCAGGGTCTTCATCTCACAAAAACTTGGAGGGGGGGGGGCAAAGAAGGCATTTAGCAAAACTGTGGCATTGCGCGAATAAACCCAATGAGTCTATATTTCCATATTCACATCACTCTCTCCTCCCTACAAATCAAACACCAAATACCTAAACCATAAAGAAACATCCTCTTGTAATTTGTACACATACGCACTTAGATATGCAATGTATGTAGTTTTTAAAGAATAGTTAAAAAGGAGAAGTTAAAATGGAGCAGATGAATATTTAGATCTTCAGGATCTTGTTACTGATCTCTCCCATGCCATGAGTCTCCCAGTCACACTGAATTTACATTTACGCAGATCTGTCAATTTGCCTCTCCAACCAGGGCCAGAATGGAAATTAAAATCAGCCTGGGAAAGTTATTTTTTTATACTGACCCTCTAATAAGGTGCGTGGGGGATTCCTGAAAAAATGACTGATCAGGGTGCTGTATAACCTATAATACATACTACAGTATCAGTATTATCCATACAATTTAAAAATGCAACATAAATACATTGTGTAAAGTTTCCATTTACAATCCACTGTTTATTCCATTGTATTACTCATCTATACCTATATGACCACAAAATTACATGGAACTGAAACTGATTTGCACAAAAAGAATTTTAAAACAGTAATGTACTTGCCTGTTCATCGTGCATCCACGCTACATATCAGAAAATTGGGCACCCGATTTAAAATGTTAAAAAAAAACTCAATTTTTTTAGATGGACCGCTCCTGATTCTAACAACAAGGTTCATAACATTATAATTATTGTGAGGGTATGTGTTACTAGCTTAAATCAGCGTTTAAAATATTTCCTACACATTACACAAAATTAGGGATAACTTGTGGAAAATGGTTAGTGTTTATTTGCTTCTAATTCTGGCTTTTCCAGAGATAAATATATTTTTGTGTCACAAACACTAAATATCACTTTCTCTCCAATGTGAAGGAGAAAAAATATATATCTGAAAAGGTGTTTTTGAGCTACCGTTATTATTTTAACAAATTGAGGGCACAGTTACGTAAAAAACCAAAACCAAATTAAAATATATTTTTGTTGTATCACATTAGTAAAGTATAACATACGTGTTGTTTAAAAATATGAAAAGCAATAATGCACGAGTGTAATACAAATTTACATATAGAAACTCGATTTTCGATATTGTATAACGAAAACTAACGACTATGGTGACCGAATGAATTTTGTCGCCACGAATGACAACTATCATGTCATATTACCATGTTATCCAAACCATGGTAAGAGAGGTACTATTGTGGTCAATGTATTATTTTGCCATGAAAATAGACAACGGTAAAAAGACGAAACACGACAAACCTAAATCTCACCCAAAAACTATAGAATGTAGTCTTATAGTTATGGTTGGAGGTGCTAAATGTCCTTACGAGGAATTGCTAGTGATTAATCACTTAGCTCAGTTGGTTGAGCACTCATCTGGCGTACGACAACGTCATGTGTTTGAATCTTCTCCCTGAAAATGCAAAACATTAACTATCAAAAGTTATCCCCACCTTTTTCTAATATCTTTATCGTCATTTTTGAAGGTAGAAATGGCGAACGCAATACTTTACCTAATTTTACTACATTATACCTTTCTTCAAACCTTATCGTCTACTTGGCTGCGTTGATGAAAGCAGCTTTCGTTAGAAGTTGTCTAACATTTTTTTTATTATATCGTTTGACTCGGGTCGTTTCACATTGCAAGGAAACAGAATGCTTTGTTAGATGAGTTGAAGTAAGTACCGTGCGCTCGAAGGTAGGGGGTCTTCTTATGGGAAAGTTTAAGCGTGTTGCTTATACTAATTGCAGACTACAATCGTTAGATGATCTATTATGTTCGAGTGTCATTGAAGTTCAAATGAAAATACTTCATATACTTGAATACGAAAAGTTTCTG